TCTCCTTCTCTTTTATCTGCTATATGTTATAATTAAGATTCGAATTCCTTCCTACTTGATTCTGCTTTTGTTCTTCTCTCCTGTGTATGTTTTGACATGTTCATATGCAGATTTGTAAAAAGCATAAAACATAAGTAATGACTGGGACTTACTGTTGTGGATGCGGGTTATGTCTAGTTCCGCCTCTGCTCCTCTGTAGCCAGCTACCACTCACCACCAAATACTCAGATGCATCTCTCAGTGGGATCTTCAAACACACAGCTCACCTTTGATACCTCTGGTGGAATATTAACTACTAATTAGTGTTCTGTGTTAGAACTGAGATGATTTATACTGTAAAAAATTCTCTTGATCAATTAATTAATGTGGACTGTGAGCTAAAGATGGTAACTGTAACCTGTGTACAAATTTTTTTTCGTCTTTCTACCCGTTTTAGAATGCCACCGTCATTGAATGCACTTTTGTCCTAATTTAAAAGTAACATCCTTCTTTGTAGACAAGTATATTTTCTATGTATGTAAATGGCCAGTGATTCTGGCTGATCATAAGACCAGTGTTATGTGCCTGTCCCTTGAGGGTCTGTTATCTGTGCTGATTCTCACCACAGACAGCATGCTGCCCCCAGCAGCCATCCCAGCTGGACCCGCCCCTGGTGGCTGGATAATATAAAAACGAACCAGAGCACACTGAGCTCCAGTCCTTAAGAACAGCTTAGAGCACACTTTAAAAAATGGTGTTGATTTTAGAGAGTGAAGAAGGTGGGGAGAGGGGGGACATCGATTTGCTGTCCACTTATTTGTGCCTTCATTGGTTGGTTGATTCTTGTATGTGCCCCGACCAGGGATTGAACCCGCAGCCTTGGCTCATAGGGATGAGCTAAAGATGGTAACTGTAACCTGTGTACAAATTTTTTTTCATCTTTCTACCCGTTTTAGAATGCCACTGTCATTGAATGCACTTTTGTCCTAATTTAAATGTATCCTTCTTTGTAGACTAGTATATTTTCTATGTATGTAGATGGCCAGTGATTCTGGCTGATCATAAGACCAGTGTTATGTGCCTGTCCCTTGAGGGTCTGTTATCTGTGCTGATTCTCACCACAGACAGCATGCTGCCCCCAGCAGCCATCCCAGCTGGACCCGCCCCTGGTGGCTGGATAATATAAAAACGAACCAGAGCACACTGAGCTCCAGTCCTTAAGAACAGCTTAGAGCACACTTTAAAAAATGGTGTTGATTTTAGAGAGTGAAGAAGGTGGGGAGAGGGGGGACATCGATTTGCTGTCCACTTATTTGTGCCTTCATTGGTTGGTTGATTCTTGTATGTGCCCCGACCAGGGATTGAACCCGCAGCCTTGGCTCATAGGGATAATGTTCTAACCAACTGAGCTACCCAGCCAGGGCCAACACACACGTTTTGATAGACCAATAGTGTATCCTTTTTCCTATGAAGGAGCGTGTCTCTTTCCTTCAAGAATCACATAACTGATGCTGTGAAGTGTGCTTCACTGGGTAGCATGTGTGTTCTCCTCTTTAAATTTCTTACCGGGCTGAATTTTTAGAAATGCTCTTATCAGTCTTCCCGAGGCTGTTCAGTTGCTGGTGTGTATCTGCATTCACCTGTAATTCACCTGTACACTCACCTGCACACTTACACTTTGCAATTCCGCTTCCCGAGGCTGTTCAGTTGCTGGTGTGTATCTACATTCACCTGTAACTCACCTGCACACTCACACTTTGCAATTCCAAATGACACCTGGTAGGGGCAGTAAGAGCAGCTCCCCCTGCATCATGCATAGGGTCCGAAGCTGCCTCTCACTGGGAAACAGTCCAAGAGGAGAGAAAGGCGTCATGTGATTCAGATGAAGGTCGACTATTTCCTAGACCAGGGGTCCTCAAACTACGGCCCGCGGGCCCCATGCGGCCCGCCAAAAACATTTATCCGGCTCGCCGGGTGTTTTTGCCGCCGCTGCCTGTTGCTTAGCAGCCGACTAGTTTTTTTTTTTAAACTATAGTCCAGCCCTCCAACAGTCTGAGGGACAGTGAACTGGCCCCAGTTTAAAAAGTTTGAGGACCCCTGTCCTAGACCATAGCCGAGAAGGTCTGTAATTCTTTTATTAAGAAAGAAAAGTTCCTTAACGTTTTGGGTGATCCGAGAACTGTCATTCACAGATCATAAAAGCAGTCCAGCTGCTGTTTTGTGTCCTTTCGTCTGTGCTTTCCACTTTCCACTTTTCACATTGAAGCTGTACATTAGGCTTGTGTTTCTCCTGATTTATTCATGTTGTTTCCATCACTTCACTGCACCTGGCTTTCTTCTGTCCTTACATCTTGATTCCGTCTGCTCATGGAGATGCCCGGCTGTCTTCCTCTTCCTGGAGGTGTTTTCCTTGCCGCTGCTCTCTTCCCACTTTGTTTTCATCAGTCAGGGCCTCATGGCGCTCCCTCTCAGTCACATAAGCCGTCGGTGCATCTTCTTCTTGGTTTGTTTTTGTTAATCCTCACCAGAGGATTTTTTCCCGTTTTTTTTTTTTTTTTTTTTTTTTGTAGGGGCGTTTTTTTTTTGAGAGAGAGAGTGGAAGGGAGGGTAGGGGAGGGGAAGTGGCAGAGAGAGAGAGAAAGAGGGGAGAGAGACAGACAGACAGACAGACATCAGTGTGAGAGACATGTGGATTGGTTGCCTCCTACACCTGTCCCAATCTGGGCTGAGGATCAACCTGCAACCCAGTGCCCTTGACCAGGAATTGAATCTGCGACCCTTTGGTGCATGGTTCAGTGCTCTAACCACTGCTCAGTGCTCTAACCACCAGCCAGGGCTAGAATGCATCTTTTTAATCTTCACATCTCTCTAAGCAGAGATTTAACAGATTTATTCTTTCTATTTTGGTGGCAGGTGAAGTTCTGGTCCCAGCACATTTCCTTCATTCTGGTTGGAATAATCATTGTCACGTCTATCAGAGGACTGCTGATCACGCTTACCAAGGTATGTTCTATCACAGAGTCAGAAAAGTAATTATTCCTTAATTACAGGTGGCACCGTGAGATCTTTACCTATTTAACATTTCTGTCTTCTGAATCTTAAACAACAGTCACAAATATTTAAAAGACAACAACAGCCCTGGCCCACGTGGTTCAGTTGGTTGGAGCATGTCCTGTGCACCAAAAGTCACTGGTTCAATTCCATCAGGGCACATGCCCGGGTTTTAGGCTCCATCACTGGTAAGAGTGCGTCAGGGAGGCAGCCAATCAATGTTTCTCTCTTGCTCACTCACGCTCTCTCCTTCTCCCTTTCTCTCTAAAAAAAAAAATCAATAAAAAACATATTAAAATAAAGACATACAACAGAATTTTTAAGAAGTTAAATTGATACATGGATTGATGATGATGGACTTACATCATATAATCAGATAACTACATTTACCAAAGGTCATAGAATGAGACCAGGGTCTGTTTTGTTGACATATGTCAGCAGCATCTAGAACAGCACCTGGCACGTGGTAGGTGTTCAGCAGATAGTTGGAATGAATGAATGAGATGGGGGTTTGAGGTTAGAAGAATAACTGAGAGTCCCTGTAAGGAGCATGTGGAGGTAGGAGAAGCAGAATGTTCCACTGTGTTCTGATCAGCATCGGAAGGTAAATCCTCTGGTAAGAGGTAGGGACTTCAGACCCAGCTGTTGGAGTGAAAGGAGAGAAGAGGCTGAGAAAGGGGCGGAGACAAGTCTCCAGGCGTCTAGCACATTCTGAAAAGAGCTCTGAGCCCGGAACAATGACAAGGGCCTGGGTGACCTGTTTTGATGTTAAGTCAGGTGATCACACAGCCTCTTAAAAGTTTGTTAGCCATTGTAATGCTTTTGTGTTTCAACGTGGTACTTATACCCACAACTAAGTCCTTTTCACTCCAAGTCTCTTCTTTACAGCCTTAATCATACACATGTTCTGTACAGGATTAAGGCAGGGGGGTGACACCTTTAATTGCCAGCCACGCTCCTAATGTTCTGGACACAGGACACAGGAGCGCTGCATAAACTCCTCTCTCCCCTTTCTCGACAGTTCTTTTACGCCATCTCTAGCAGCAAGTCCTCCAACGTCATCGTCCTGCTGTTAGCACAGATAATGGTGAGTTGTAAAAACCAGCGTCATCTTTGCACCTGGAAAGTCCCAGACATGTCTTATGCTTTTAAATAGTTAACCATGTCCTTTGACCCGTCCCTCACTACATGCAAAGTGACGTGTGGACTGGCCGGTTTGACTTCCAGGGCATGTACTTCGTCTCCTCGGTGCTGCTGATCCGCATGAGCATGCCCCTGGAGTACCGCACCATCATCACCGAAGTCCTTGGGGAGCTGCAGTTCAACTTCTACCACCGCTGGTTCGACGTGATCTTCCTGGTCAGCGCGCTCTCCAGCATCCTGTTCCTCTACCTGGCTCACAAGCAGGCACCAGAGAAGCATATGACACCTTGAACTCACGGCTGTTGCAGACTGAACAGGCCAGTGATGTCCACATTTAGATAGAACAAGGGAAAGTGGAGGGGACCGGGGCCTGGCATTTTTTATACAAACAAGATGCTGCGGTAGCCTATTCCACTGCAGCTATGCCTTCCTCCCAGACGGTACGCTGATGGTGAGCCGCACTGGTTGGAGCAGAGAGCAGAGAGCCAGGTACCTGAAGCTAGCACGCAGCCGAGAGGTTCCTGTGGGTTTGAGGCTGGTGCGGCGTTGGGAGGGGGAGAAGTCCACTGGAGTCCGGGGTAAGCGAGTCCGCGGCAGCTGGGCCACGCGGGTGGGGTTTCTGCTGAAGTCGAGGTTCACATGGAGGAAGTTTTGGCTTCCCTGAGATTGACTGTCATTAAAATCCGAGATTGTAAGTCTGGCCTTAGCTTTATTTCATCAAGGACAGCTCCGTGTTTGCTTGTATGATCTCACATGAGTTAGCTACCCCCCCTCCCCCAATCCTTACCCCATGAAAATAACCAAGAGCTTGTCTGTTCTTTCCTGGGGTAGGATGGGGTGCAACTGAAAGAGATTCTACCAAGAGAGATTTCAGGGGTGCCATTTTTCCTGATTTCCTTTCACTTAATATCATGTAAGAGTGAATTATTCTACATTCAATTAAGTAATGATGGCTCATATTTTCTTCCCTTCTGCCCCTCATACTGTGGGTAAAACAATGAATAACTGCTAACTGGAATAAGTCACTTTTTTCTCCGACTCAGTTTCTTCATCTGTAAAAGGAAGATGTTGGAAAAGTTGTAGAACACTCAGAAATGCCATTTAAGAAAAATCCTTAATTTTACTACCAGGAAGTCTCTATTACTAAGGTCTTATTCTGAATTTTATTTTGTTTTTGGTTCCTAGAGGCAAAACAAAAATTAAAGCATGAAATGCTTACCAAAAACACAATTCAGGTTAGATCAGTTAACAGGGAAGATTCAAGCAACTCAAAAGACATTTTTAATGGCATTTATTTTAGTAACCACACATTCTTTAAAAAGCATAATTTTAACAGGCAAACTCACGTCCTTTCATTAGCAGCTTCACATTTACAGATTTATGAATCGTCTCTGGTGCTCAAGGCGCCCATAGAAGTAAGAGATCATCATACAGAGAAATACAGTTACGGTGAAGCTTGGAAGAGATTACATGAAAAGAATCTGGTCCCGCCTTAGCTTCTCCTAAGTTGACCATAAATAAGCCATCATCAATAGGCACTCGAGACAAATGACAACAGAAAACAACTGCACGTAAGGGGCCAGTTTCCAGAGCATTTTTTGCCAAAGACGGCAGGTGGGTGGCCACTCATCCCTCGGAAAGGATTCCTATCAAATACCCAGAAACCGCGCTCAGCCACAGCCGCAGTTCGTTCTCATCACAGCCTTGTATCCTCAGAATTGGAAGAAGACTGCGAGGCTGTACTGTGGGCCTGTGCAAGAGAAGGCGAAGGGTCTGTGAGTGCTGGAGCGTGGACATAAGCCAGGGGGTGGGGTCATGACTAGAAGCTAGGTGACGCGACTTCTACACTTGGCTTGGCTTTCAGCTTGCTGTCTGAAACCAATTTCCTTTCTGTAACTGACTCCCTGCAGAGATGTTATAGAATTCTTGAAAGACAACGAGAATACTTTCTCGTTAAGAAATCTACAATATGATCAGTGGCTATTACGTGTGCCTTGTCTGAATATTTGTCTCTCCCCCAAATGCATATGGTGAAATCCTTATCCCCAAGGTGATAGAATGAGGGCATGGCCTGGGGGTGTGATGAAGTCAGGAGGGCAGAGCTGGGATTGTGCCCTCAAAAAAGAGGGCCCCAGGGCTCCCCAGCTCCTGCCACCCTGGAGGGGCAGAACAAGAAGTCCGGGTCTGCAGCCTTGGAGAGGCCTTCATGGGCACCAATCTGCCGCCACCTTGAGCTTGGACTCCCCAGCCTCCAGAATTGTGAGAAATAAATGTTTGTTGTTTACAAAGCCACCCAGTGTATGTTATTTTGTTATAGTAGCCTAACCGGGCTACGACAGTAGGTGTTCCTTAAAAATTAGTATTTTTGTATTACCAGTCGGAAGAATTACATTAATGTAATGAAATAAAAATAGTATTAAACTTTAAGTCTTGGCTTTGCCAAATGTTTCCTTTATGAACTTGGATAGGTCACTCTTGGACCTCAAGTTCATCTATGAAAAGAAATTGGACAACAACAAAAACTGAGATTTACCAAGGAATTTATCTAATCTAAATACATACAGCATAGTGTTTGCTCTTCCCTATAATAAAACTTGAATACCTACCAGTTTTTTAAAAACAACTCTGTCTCTAACCACCACCATTCCTTTCATGCTTGCTGTGCACAGGGCACTAGCCGAACCACTTTGATAGTCTTAGTCAATATAATCCTGGTAACAGTCCCACAAATTATCCTTGTTATAGGGGAGGATACCAAGGCACAGAGAGAGTAAATCCATTTGCCCATAGCAGAACCAGAATTTGTACATAAATAGTTTGATTCAAGTTCCATTCCCATTATAATTTTGATAAACTTATTTCTTGTCAACTCTGTGCTATGAAAAATAAGAAATTTGTTGTTCTTGTACTACATCCTTTCCCCTACAATAACTTGATTTGTCAGTTACCTTTATATGATCATTTTTAGTATTGTAGGAATTCTGTGGTAAACATGGACATGAGATGCACTTAGTTAAGGTCTTTACCATATACTGGTAAGTTAGATCATTAAAAGAAATGTGTTAATAAAAAACAAATTAAATAAATAAATAAAAGGCTAATATACTACATGTCCTAAAAAAAAAAAAGATATGTGTTGCCCAGCTGGTGTGGCTCAGTGATTGAGCATTGACCTATGAACCAGGAGGTCACGGTTCGATTTCCAGTCGGGGCACATGCCCAGATTGTGGGCTTGGTCCCCAGAGGGACCTGCAGGAGGCAGCTGATCAATGATTCTGTCAGTGTTTCTATCTCTCTCCCTCTCCCTTCCTCTCTGAAATCAATAAAAATATTTTTTTTTAAAGAAAAGAAATGTGTCACTACTCACTCGTTCTTTTGCCACGTGTGAGTCGAGCTCTGACTCCACCCATGTTTCTTCTTTGGAATCAAGGGGCACATCCAGTGGGTCAGCCATGGAGGAAACAATAGGGATTTTCTTTGCCTGGAAATAATCGTAGGCCTTCTTTCCGCAGACTAAGAGCGTGACATTCTTCCCACTGCTCTGGATTCTTTCTATCACCTTCTCATAGCGTTCGTCCAGCACATTCACCCCGTTCACCTCAATGATGACGTCCTCATCCTCTAGCCCCGCCAGCTGGGCAGGGCTGCCCTCCTGCACCTGTGAACAGAGGGTCGGAGTTGTCACGTCCAGACACAGATAAGGGAATGTTAGCCTAGCTCCCTTCAGGGGAGATGAGGAGATGAGGATTTATTCCTCACTGTGTTGTGACTTCTCCTTGAGGCACAGAAGTCGAGGACAATGCTCTAACACTTTCTGCTTTGAAGGCTACAGCTTCTGTACTCCAATCAATGGTGTTGCAGTGGTTGACTATTGTGTTATATGTCTTCTGGGTTAAAGGCATCAGACATCATAGGTCCCTTCTGCAGGCCCAGTGTGAGAGCTCTAAGGGCAGTCCTCTCCCTCAGGCCCTACAGCGAGAGGCATCATGCCCGTCCACAGAAGCAAGCAAGCATCACCCGTCAGTGCTGATGGTGACTCACCTACAGTCACGCCAGCTCTACTTGATTTGAAAGTGCCCACAGATGACTGAGTGTAACAGATGTTAAGAAATGAAGGCTGTGGGCTTAGGATGTACTAAGCTATCTTAAAGGGGCCGGGACCATGACAGCAATTATTTGAACCCAAGTGAGACACTCAACGCCGGCCTTCAATGTACCCCTTTACTGAGCCATCGGTGAGTGGGAGAAGCCCGCCCTCCCAAGGGTGGCTGCGGTCACTGGGCTGCGGGAACCGGGTTACCGTACCTCTCTGACAAATGGGCCTGGCTGACCCCGAATCGCATTTAGGTGGAAGCCGTAGCCATTGTCACCTTTAACCAGCCTGCACAGCTTAGGCTTGTGATCTGGACTTGAGCTGGCCAGAGGCGCCGGAACCCGGGCCTCCTTGACAGAACCGTTAGGCAGTTGTTGACTTTGATAGTAGAGAAATGGAGAAAAATGAGCCTTGGGAAAACAAAGGGGAAGAAGCATTAACTGTAAATATGAATAATTACGCTATTAAATGTGCTGATTTATTTTATAAGGTGCATACATGTTCCACTCTTCCACATACATGATTGTGGGCTGAAAATTTCTCGTTACTTCAACCAGGAAAGGGATAAAGGAAGACTGAGCTTTGTCATGGAGCAATGTGTATAAACATGTAAACAAATGCACATATCCGTAAAATAAAGTGTTGTACAAGGATCCAAAAATAAACCCAACGGAACTGCTGGTTTCTTCTGACTTGATGATAGTAAGCAAACCACTCAACCTTCGAAGGTTAGCGACTTGCCCTCTATCTCATGCAAGTTAGGTCCATCTGGCCTTCCCCTTCAGTAAGAACTTCAAAGCTCCTTAAACACGTAGAGAGAGTAATACAAGACGCTATATCGCATCCAAAGTACAACAGTGAATTGGCGGAGGCAGCAATCATATGGGCACATCGTTTCTCTCCCACTACCTCTCCGGCACTGTGCTCTATTGTACTCTATTTTACTAGTTATTGTTGTGACCATTAGCAGACACTTCCGTTATGCCAAGCTCCTCACTACCTTTATATATTTCTAATCCATTTCAACTCCCAGAACATCCATGCAAAGACGGCAGTGATAGTCTTGAATATAGAAGAGGCATTAAACAGGGAACATATGACTGATTTTTTTATTTATTATTATTTATTTATTTATCTATCTATCTATCTATCTACTTACTTCTTACTTACTTACAGAAATAAGAGCCCAACCATTGTGGCTCAGTGTTTGAGTGTTGACCTATGAATCAGGAGTTCACAGTTCAATTCCCGGTCAGGGCACAAGCTCGTTACAAGCTTGATCTCCAATGTGAGGCGGAGGGTCAGTCAAGGTCATATACCTTGGTTGCAGGCACATCCCCAGTGGAGAGTGTGCAGGAGGCAGCTGATCAATGTTTCTCTCTCGTCGATATTTCTAACTCTCTATCCCTCTCCTTGCCTCTCTGTATGAAATCAATAAAAATATATTTAAAAAGAAGAACTTAGCTGACTGGGTTTTAGTTGAAAGGATTAAAAGGCTAGATTTGGGAATGCTGAGATCCTAGATCAGTAGTTAAATTGCGGCCCACAGGTGCCCAAGACATTTGTGAAGTGATGAGTGAAAAATGAAGCAATTGAAAGCGAGTACAAGTTGTGCTCTCCCCTAAGTCGTCCTGTTCAGCAGCCTGGCTGAAATTAGACTGGAGGGCTCCGGTTACCATCTGTCTTACTAACCACAAGGCCAGGGCTTCCTTTCTAAAGGAGATTAGCACCTCGTTAGAACCATTCAGTTACCCAGTTCAACTAACTCCAGACCTCTCAGCGATATGCTTGCAAATTTTCTACATTTCTGTCCCTCTTCAAAATGTGGGAAATTATCAGTAACTCCTTACATGCAAAAATACCTTTGACATCACTACCCAAACAAGCAAACCAGTGGCAGCTAATCCTAGGCAAAGTACAATAACATAAAACAGTGAGTTTTTATTCTCATTCAAATATTTGGGTGTCTAGTATGTTACAGGAACTGATTAGCTGTTTGCTTTATTCACTGATACATCTCAAACTTCCAGCCCATGCAACTCACTTTGGGGGGACGAGGGAGGAAGAAGATGGGGACAGTCATCTTTATAGATCAAAGTTCTCTTTTTTAACCAAAACATTAAAATTATAGTGAACTCATTCTGTCATAAGATTAGAAGTTGGAAAGGATTCAACGCTAGAATCTGCTTTACAACAGCAAGAGCAGTGACCTTCTGACTTGACCTTTTCTACTAGCTGGGACCATTGCAGAAATGGCTTACCCTGTTCCCAGCAGCTTCAGTTGTCCTAAGCCCAAAGCTCGCTCCCTACAGCGTCTCTATCTGCTCAAGCTACACCCCCTAGAACACCTCAAAAATAAGTCTGCTGCTTGTATATAATAGCCTTTCAAATTATTACAAGCTGTTTAACAGCCCTGTCTAGGCTTTTACATGGGATGGTCTATAGCTTAAAATCCAATTGCTCCCTACTGAGGAGAGTTAGGGCTACATCTGCCTGTTCATAGATTTTTCTCAGATCACCAAGAGTAATTCTGCAATTATATGCAAATTCTTTCAAAATCTTGAGTCTAAGGACTTAAAACTTATGTACCAATCACATGGCACTCTCTTATCACTGCCACTTCGAGCTTCAAAGCAGCCTTAATATGGTCGTTGTACACTTTCCAGGTTGAAGATCAAAGTGGTCATTTAAACCCCCAAATAGAGACAGTGACCCAGCCAGTTGAGATCAGCCAGACTCTCTCATCAGCTGACGATGAATACCAACGCTGACACGACAGGCTCACGAAGGGAGTAGCCATGGTGGTAGAAACAAGCTATTCATGGGCCAAACAGCATTGGCTAAAGATAAGGTAACTTAGCCAAAGTTGGAGGGCATTAGTGAGTGGACCCAACCTTGACGCATGAATACATGACCTTGTATTACTTACCAGCCTGTATATGCTGTCCGTCTTTTTGTCTACCACCAACAGGGAAGTCTGATCTCCACTCTTCCTGATCATCTCCACCACGCTGTCATGATTGAGGGATTCCACAGACTCGCCGTTGACAGCAATTACCAGGTCATTGGCCTTCAAGCCAGCCTCCTCTGCTGGACTTCCAGAATCTACGTCTTTGATGAATTGACCTAACCATCCCCAAAACAATGAATTATCAGAAAGACCCCTAAAAGAACGAGGACTTCCTGCCAGAGCCC